TCATTCCCTCAGAAAATGAGGGGGGAGGGGCAAGCTCCCCCCTTTTTTGAGGTGGGGATGAAGTCTCTGGCCCTCCCCTCCCCCCATAGGTAGGAGGAGGGGGAGGGTCCCAGCGTTGCCCTCCTCGAGACCCCCACCCCCAACGCTCCACAATAAATAGGGGGAGGGGTGGGCTTTTCGGTCCCCCTTCTGACAGGGGTGTGTGAGGGGGGGTTGGTCTGGGGGTCTTGAAACCCCCCCGTTCCTGCCTCTGCCCCCTCCCCCCTTTCCTGGACGCTTCCTTTCTCTCAGGCACCCCCATAGCCCAGTTCTAATTTGGGGAAGGGGCCTGTGAGTTGGGGGTCAAGGGATGTAAAACAAGGGGGTGGTTGTCCATGTACACACATGTGTGTGTGTGTGAAGAGGAGACCTCCAGCTCCCTAGTAAAGCATATGGGGGAGCTTTCCCTCATGGCATCCCTTGAACCAGAGACTTGCAGTAGGCAGAGATTTCACCAATAATAATAATAATAATAATAAGAATAATGATAATAATAATAATAATAATAATAATAATAATAATAATAATAATAATAATAATAATAATAATAATAATAATAATAATAATAATAATAATAATAATAATAATAATAATAATAATAATAATAATAATAATAATAATAATAATAATAATAATAATAATAATAATAATAATAATAATAATAATAATAGCCAGAGCCGACAGCAGTGATGATGGCACTTAAAACTATTCCAGCCCTCCTTTTCAGCCCAATTACAGGCCCCCGCGTTGCCCAACAGTAAGCGAAGTGGATGCACAATGACAGGGTAATTATATGTACAGTTTTTAAAAAGAGAGTAATGAGGGATGAAGGCTGAAAACATTATTAGGAGTTATTTATGTGCTGTAGTCTCTCCCTGGCACTCTGCACCCCCAAGGAGAGGGTTGGCATCGATGGAAGGTGGGTTTCTTTTCTTCCCTTCCTGGGGCTCACCGTGGACATGGTCACAGGCACTGAAGTGGGCATTTATTTATATATTTTATTCTTTGTTTATTTATTTATTGGATTTCTATCCTGCCCATCCAGACCAAAGGTCTACTCTGGGCATTGAAAATGGAAGGGGGATGTGGGTAGGGAGTTTGGGTTTTCTTCGGTACAGCATGCTTTGTGGGGGAAGGGGAGACTTGGGGGCCTTCGTAGAAGGAGGTGTTGTTTCTGAACAGCCTTTCTGTGAGTTGATGAAGGGAACGGTGGTGAAAGAATCTGGCTGAGAAAGAATTGGTTTGAAATCATCATCCCCATGGCACATGCATGGATGTGGAGGGGGGGCATTGCTGTTGATTTCGTTGATTTGTTAGCTTCTTCCTGCAAGAGAAAGGCAGTGCATTTGGGGGGGGGACAGTGCGGACAAGGGACATCAGCTTTGGCCTGCCCTGCGTCCCGCTTGTGGACTTCGCTTTTGTGCCCACCGCTTTTGGAAAGATGAGGCTGGACTATGAGATGCTCTTCTCCTCCGTCAGAGCCATTCCTATAGTCCTGTGACTTCTCAAGGACTCCTGAATTCTGCAGAAATGCCCCTCTCCGCCTTCTTCACTCCCACAATGCATCCCCAAAACAGCCTGCACTTCCACTATCCCCTACCACCCCCATAACAGTAAAGACAGGGGTGTTCAAGGGAAATGCGAAATGCACAAAGCCGAACAAAGAGGCTGGTCGGAGCTCTTATGCAGAAAAAGAGCATGATTGGAGAGGTATGATCTTGGTGACTTTTATAGGAGGCTGGAATGAAGTCCATTTGCTCAAGGGGGTATGGCATAAGGAACGGGACTCATTCCCCCATTTCAGTTAAATGGCAATCTTCCCGGTAGACGACTTAAGATATATTTCTCAGAAAATGAGATGATACCAGAACTCGACTCCACCACAGCAGAGATAATTTAATATGGATTACTTTTTTCTTCCTAGTTAAGTAGCTTGGGATGAAAAGCATCTAGTTTTGATATTGCTTGTAGAAGATATGCCCTTGTGCATTTTCTCTTAGAATTAAAAGGGGGGGGAGCTGAAAGAGAAAAACACAGTCAGCACTTGTAACCCCTCACTGTGTGCAGTGGGGTTCAGGAGGATGAGCATGGGGAAAATGTGAACCTTTAGAGATAGGATGGCTATGAAACTCCAAGATTTGATTGTTATTTTGTTACTAGTCATTGGCATAGATTTACAGAGATCTCTTTTCTTTCATACCTAAGCTATCATGAGAATAATTCCCAGAGATGGCACTTGGCCATTGACACACTGCAATACGACATTGCTTACAGAATGAGTGGGAAATCTTTCTGAGAGTTACCTCCACTCTTTGCACCACATTTGTTCCAGATATTTGTCATTGATGGCTTCCTTTCTTCTTTACTGTGAGTCACATGGGTTCACGAGGGGAAAAAATCAATTTGTAAGGCATGTTTCAAAAACCATTTATACAAATGATGACCCTTAATTCAGTTTGTATTTAAGTGCCACTGAGCTTTTCTGAATTCTCATGATTCAGGTCAGAAATAAATATTGTTAATGATTTGGGTTAGCTTATACTGTATGTTAGTATAAGATGGTATGTTCATGCTTGCTTTATTATGCTTTTAAATAAAAGCAAAGAGATCAAGAAAGTGATAACAATTTAGAAAATTAAAATTGGAATGTCTTTTAACACAGGCTGTCGCTATCCATAAATCACCAATTTCTCTTGGTTCTAGTTAAGATATATGTAGTCCACCTTACATCAAGTCCAGCTTCTACATTTTTCTTGCCTCTTAGAATATAATCGTGGTGGGGAGTACAATTATTTTAGTTTGTATCTTGTATTTTGTAAAATTATTTTTTTAAGAATATAATTTTCTCTTAGAGATTTATTTCTTTAAAGAAGATGTTGAATTGCTTAGAATTATAAATAAGTCAAATAATCCTGAAGCATTTAATGTACTCATTTGAAATAATCTTTCACCCTGGATCAGCAACCATTATTTGCTAAAAGAAAGAACTGCCATAAAGTCTCATCTTGTTACAGTTAACATTTTCTACTTTATAGCTGTGGTCTGCATGGCTTTTAGTTTGTAGTAGCCATACAGTAGGCTGTCCGAGTGATGGTCTACAAAATATAAATCACAGGCTGTTTGGCGGAAAGATGAGATAGTAGTGAAGTTCAAAAACAGCTTGCTTTGCACAATTTGGGTCATGATAAGCAACTGCGGCTTCAGATTGTGTATTTGTAATGATTGAAAATTTGTCCATATCAAATATAGTTCTAGCATGCGCACATAATCAATTGAATATTAGTTGCCAGTAGATAATGTTTTCATGTACTTTATTTATAAAGTGCCTTTCTCCCAAAGGATATAATGCAGTTTTCAGTTCAAAATAATAATTTATTCTTTGTGAGACATGATATAAAAGTAGGATCGTTAACCATCTATAAAATGTCTAGGGTCTTTATTTGTTTTGTTTTAAAATGTAAATGAACCAGTTGCAGAACCAGTTTGAGTAAAGCCAGATATTTCTTCTCTCCCTCTCCCCCCCCTGTGTGGT